AAAAAATCCAACAGATCCAGAAAAGTCATAGAGAAACTCCTTTTAGGCAAAAGGCATTACTAGAGGCAGAGGGCCATTTCATAAAGGCAAAAGGTTTTCTTCAACCAGAAGATGTATAAGGCTTCTAAATTTATATACACCTACTAACTTGACATCAAAATACATAAGACAAAATTGACACAAGTGAATGACAAATCTGGGCCTGCCTTGTGGCCTAGTGGCTAAGGAGCTATATTTCACATGGCTAACCATGGTTTGAATCCAGGCCCAGGCAGCCTAAAACCTGCCCCCACTTCTCCTGAAATAAAAATCCACAGAAGGCTCCAGGACATGTGCACTCTCTACTTTGATTTAAATGCAACAAACCTAATATCTTAGTCTTGGGGTGTAAATGGACTGGGATTAAAATATGTTATTTTTGAGGGGCCAGATGGTGGCACAACTAAACCTGCATGAGAAAGGTTTGAGTTCAATCCTGGGACCTTCCTAGGCATGCTGAGCATGTATGTATGCCCATGATCTAAGTCAGCTGTGACTGGAAGTGGATTGCAGCATGAAGTCCCTGTTGGGGTCTTTCTCTTTCTTCCTCTCTCTCTCTCTCTCTCACTGTCTCATCTTTCTTCTTCTCTCATGGAATAAATAAACTTTAATATAAGTTTTTGTATAATTATTTATTATTATTATTTATTTTAATGTTGCTATAGGGCACATGCAATCACCAGAGAGAATGAGAGAGAGAGAGAAGTGAGAAAGCGAGCTGCCTGGTTCAGGACTCAAACCACAGCTGGCCTTGTAGGAGTCCAGTGCCTTAACCACCACGCCATCTACTGGCCCCATAAATAAACTTTTTTAAAATCTGCATTTCTTTCTTTAAATATTAAATTATTTGTCTAGAATCAGATAACTTCCACAAAATCATGGAATTACTAAAAGATGATCAAGAATACTTTCCTACACATGTAAGTTGAACCTATAGTGAAAGTTCTCCAAGACTGTGCTAATTTTAAATTTTCATAATGCTAAAAGGGGACAGGATGAGGGAGATGAACAGTAGAAGCCAGGGAACCAGCTTTGACAACCAAGATGCATTCTTATTTCTTATTTCCAATGAAGAGATCAGCTTTGGGAAGTTCCATCATTTGTCCACACTCCCACAGCAAATAAGTATATATGCTATAGAATATTATTGCATTATGAAAATGAGAACAATAGCTATAACAGAAATGAATAACAATTATACAGTAACTAATTTGATAACATAGATTTTAAAAAGGAGTGTAAAATGCCAAAATTGAAATTGTTTCAAAAATAAGTGAAAAATTTGAATAAACACAAACTTAAAAATAAAGTGCTAATAAAATTCTTCACATAACCAATGCCTCAAACCTGTGTAATTTCATAGATGAGTTTCATCACACATTTTAAGAACATATATGTATTTTATAGGTCATTATAAAATATAAGAAAAAAGAGAAAAAGCTGTTCAACTCAATTCATGAGACTAGTATAATCTTAATTCCCAAAGCAGGTAGGAAGAAGTCAGAGGAAAAAAATTATAAGGCTATTTCATGAATATTGGCATAAGATCCTAAACAAAATATATTTGCAAAGCAAAAGAAAATACATGTTTTTACAAGTAGAGAAAGGAAGAATGAATATCAGAGGCTAGAACAAACAGGAGGGAGGAGGGAGGAACAAAAGGACGCTGATTGTCAGAAACAAAATGACACATAAATAAGAGGGAAAAGTTCTAGTGTTATAAAATATAGTAGAGCAGAATATATTAGGTTGTCAGAATAGTTATGACACATTTTTGCATAGCAAACAGAAAAGAAAAATCATGGCTTTTCTGACAACCCAATAGCTGGGTTAAGGTACAATTACTGTGTACCTCAGAGTAACTTGAAAGAAAGAAAGAAAGAGAGAGAGGGGGAGAGAAAGAAAGAAAGAAAGAAAGAAAGAAAGAAAGAAAGAAAGAAAGAAAGAAAGAAAGAAAGAAAGAAAGAAAGAAAGAAAGAAAGAAAGAAAGAAATCAGAGTAACTTGAAAGAAAGAAAGAAAGAGAGAGAGGGGGAGAGAAAGAAAGAAAGAAAGAAAGAAAGAAAGAAAGAAAGAAAGAAAGTTGGTTCCCAACACCAAATAATAACGAATTGTTAAAATTAAAATGATAGATATACTAATTACACTGACTTAGTCATTATGCAGGGTATTCCGGTACTAAAAATTTACACTGTGCCCCACAATTATGTACAATTATTATATGCTAATAAAAAAGAAAAATAAATGTTTAAGCAATAGAAACTAAATAAATCAAGTGTTTGAGACAAGAGTAGAGAGGCCAGGCTGCCCTAGTTCCTATGTATGTTACTATACTCATAAAATTTTGTAAATTATTTCATCCTGCTTCATTGATTAGATAGATAGATGACAGGAAGGTAGGTAGATATATACAGACAGAGAGATGGTGGTAGATAAATAGATGATAAGTGATAGAGAAAGAGATGCAGGCAGCAAAAGAAGAAAGGCCAGCCAGCTATAACATAAAGGAAAAAGCAGGAACACTAACTTTGGATATATTCCTCCCAGCATGCCCCAATTTTCTTTTTCAATATTAACAGAAACTGTCATTGTCTTGACAGTACTTCAGTAGTCGAAGGCCAGGTCATTTTTTACTAACACTAGCCCCTTCTGTGTAACTCCTGTAGAAGCCTAGCTTATGTCTCTAATTACACATTTTTCCTCATCAAATGCAGTTTTAGTTTTGTTTGGTTTTTATTAGTTTCTTTTTTTTTTCCCACAGGGTATATGCTCTCACTGTAAAGAGATAGACAGTAAGAAATCACCTCCCAGTGGGGATGGCCACACTGCAGTCCCTTCTCCATTCTCCTCGGGATTCTGGGCATGCACGCATATACACCCAGTATGGTTTTTCAAGTTCCTGGATCCAGGGTCAGCTATGTGGGAATTCAGAGCCTTAACCACCAGCCCACCTGCTGGCCCCTCAAATGTAGTTCTAAGCAGTCATCAGGCCTCGGCCCACACTAAAATGTGACAACAACATAAAGAGCTGTGGGTACCAGAGCTACGACTTGTTTTTAATATGATATGCTCTAGCTTCTACATGAGCTCAGACTGACACTCAAGCCATTGGGCTAGATTAGTGAAATTTGGTATTTCTCAGACAAATTAAATCTCTCATCCCTTAACATATACCACATTCCTTAAGCAGGTGGAGTAAAGAAACACTTAGGTAAGCAGACGGCAAGACCAAGCACCTCTGGGTTTGTCAGAGACCACTCATTTTCTGAAGGCCACTTCTCCCCCTTGCACTCAGAGGGAAGAGACTTTAATACAAATATATCGATTAATCTGTTCATCTTTTAAACCTGAAAAGAACATATATTCGAGAAATAGATCTCCTATATCCCCAGGCTTCTAGGTCCTGATTATTTTTTAAATGAACAAAACTCTATTTTAACTTATTCCTTCACAAATCCATTCGATCAATACTTGTTCAGCACCTACTATGTTTCAATTACTAGTGAGACAAATTCAATTACTCAGGGGAAAAAAATGGGGCTGATGGCCCCACTCTGGAGAAGCTCCATTCTTTCACAAACTCCTGGGTAAGCACAGGCAGAAACACAGGTCTGTTCACTGTGTCGTCCTACCATTCTCACAGACTTACCTACTTGATTTGCATAGCTGCATATTCTAGGTCTCTAGTTCTGTCCAGGCTTAGGTTTCCAGAATTCTCATGAATTTCTATAGTTTTACATTTCTGTAACTGCCCAAATGTAACTGTCTTGTATCAATTACAAGTATAGAAGCGCTCAAAAAATAATAGTTCATACCTCTGAAAAATATAAGATTAGCTGTAGGGTAAAAATAGCTTTGTGAATGCCAATTTTACTATTTTGACTCTACCTTAAACAAAAAGAAGTGGAAGTAAAATTTAATGGATTTAGCTGTTTAAAACCAGATGTTACTCTTATTTGGGTTCTAGAGTTTCAGAACTACTTTCCACAGTACAAGATAATGACATTTAATTTTTTAAAAAAAGAATTATTAATGTTATCTATCATTGTTATTATTTTTTAACTTGCTGCAGGGCACATGCACTCACCAGAGAGAGACACGGAAAGAGAGAGAGAAAGTCACCAGGTCTAGGACTCAAACTGCAGACAGCAATGTGGGAGTCCAGTGCCTCAACCATCATGCCATCTGCTGGCCCCATCTAATTTCTTTATTAAGCCAACATTTCCTAATTATTATGTGCTACAAACTGTGCCAGATGCTAGGAATACTCAGATAAATATGACACAGTTCCTATCATCAAGGAACTTTGCTGATCAGCTACCTGCTAAGAGAATCCTTTGGTTCCTATGGCTTCCTATGAATCAGCAATGACTACTATTAAGAAAAAAAAAAAAAAGAAAGGAAGAAACATAGAGCTGGTTGGTGGTACAGTGGCAACGCAATACTCTCCAAGGCACACCCACATGGGAAGGTTCCCGGTTTGCATCCAGAGACTTCCCTAAACATTCTGGGTACACATGTGCCCATGATCTAGGGCTGGCTAAGGCTAGAGGTGGACTACAGCATGAGGGAGTCTGTTGGGAGTACCTGTCTCTGTCTCTCTCTGTCTCTGTCTATCTCTGTCTCTCTCTCTGTCTCTCTCTCTCTCTTTCTCTCTCTCTCTGTCTCCCTGTCTCACTCATGGAAGAAGCAAATAAACTTAAAAAACAAAATCTATCTCACCGAATGACATTGTTAGGATGTTCATGCCTCTCTAACCTAAGCCCAAGACCAAAATAACAGGAGTTCACAGAAATCTAGAAATAATAAACAGTGCCTTTTGCTAAAAAACAAAATCTATCTCACCGGATGACATTGTTAGGATGTTCATGCATCTCTAACCTAAGCCCAAGACCAAAATAGCAGGAGTTCATAGAAATCTAGAAATAATAAACAGTGCCTTTTGGCTTTCTGAGTAGTATCATGGCTCTTGACAAGAACAAGCAACTTATAAAAGGTGGCAAAAAGAAAGCCAAAGAAAAAGTGGTTGATCCATTTTCTAAAAAAGATTGGTATGATGTAAAAGCACCTGCTATGTTCAACATAAGAGGTATTTGGGAAAACACTAGTCAAGGAAGCAAAATTGTGCCTGACAGCCTTAAGGGCCATGTGTTTGAACCTAGCCTTGCAGATCTGCCAAATGATGAAGTCACATTAAGGAAATTCAAACTAATTACTGAGGATGTTCAAGGCAAAATCTGCCTAACTTCCATGCCATGGCTCTTACTCATGACAAAATGTGTTCCATGGTCAAAGAATGACAGACCATGATTAAAACTCATGTTGATATCAAGACGACCAATTGTTATTTCCTTTTTCTCTTCTATGTGGGTTTTGTTTAAAACCATAATAATCAGATATGGAAGACCTCTTAAGCTCAGCATGAGCATGTCCACCAAATTTGGAAGATGACGGAAATCATGAACCAGGAGGTGCAGACAAATGCCTTTAAAGAAGTAGTCAATAAACTAATCCCACACAGCGTTGGGAAAGACATAGAAAAGGCTTGCCAATCTATCTCCCCTCTCCATGATGTCTTCATCAAAAAAGTAAAAATGCTGAAGAAACCCAAGTTTGAATTGGGAAAACTCATGGAGTTTTATGGTGAAGGAGGTAGCTCTGGAAAAACTACTGAGGGTGAGACAGGCGCCAAAGTTGAGCAAGCTGATAGATGTGAACCACCAATCCAAGAATATGTTTAAAGTTCAGACTTTTTTTGGGGGGGGGGGGGGAGGAGAGGTTTTCTGCTATAGGGTCCGTGCACTTACCAGACAGACAGAGAGAGAGAGACAGAAAGCGAAAAATCACCCCTCAGAGGGGATGGCCATGCCATAATCCCTTCTCCTCTGTTCTTTTCTCGGGATCTTGGGCATACATGCACACGCGCCCAGCATGAGTTTAAGCCACCGGGTCAACTACATGGGAGTCCAGCGACATAGCCATTACGCTAACTGCTGGTCCCTAAAGTTCAGACTTCTAATAGTGACAAATAAAAAATCCTATTTGTGACAGTAATGATAAACAGTCAAGTAAAATATCACTGAGCAGATGCTGAGTCCAGCCCACTTTTTAATTTGAAAACCAAACAAAGATTGCAAATACTTATAGGGAGAAACATTTTGGAGAGGTTATAAAAGAAAGTGATGAAAGATGAACAAAATGAGACTTGAGGGTTGTGAAATGGCCTGGGGAGTGATGGGTCACACTGTCCTGATAAGATGTGAGGACACCCAGGTCTGACTAGTCTAACACGTCTTCCCCTAAAGGCCTAGAGAACTGTATTGGTATCATTCAATTCCATCAACACTGTGCCCATAATATTTAATAAGCTCTCTATTATCCTCAAATAACCCTTGTCAGAGAAATCTGTGGCATAAGGAGTAATAGAAAATAGCACTGGTAGCAGACTTTCTACTCAGAATCTTGGATCAGTTTCTTACTCTCCCTGGTCCTCAGTTTCCTAACTTACAAAACGTGGATGATTTAGTTGTTTGGGTTGAAATACATAATGAATGCAGAGGACCTAGATGATATAGGTAGAGCACATGACCTGGATCAATAAATACTGGGTTCTTCGAATAGTTTAAGATTCTCAAAGCACATGCATAAGACTGTATTTGTAAAAAAAAAAAAATGGTTATATGTATAGCAATCAGGATTTTTCTGGCCAATAATGAGTAAAGAAAAAGTTTGTCAAACCTAAATAGTAGAGATTGGAATATAAGCTAAAGATTTAGAGGTGAAGAGAAGAGGATAGAGAAAGATAGCAAGTGAACAATAGAGAGGCAGGACGTTAGTGAGAAACAGATATGACTTAT